ACTAAAAGAATTATCTATTTTTAAAGATTATTTTAAATTTTTAATATAAAATTTGAACAAAATCTCATAAAAATATATATATTATAAATGAAATACAAAAACAAATATTATTAATAATATATTTATATTTGTTTCAGTAGTAAAATAAAAGATTAAGTTTTTTTTAAAAAAAAGAAAATAGCAAACCATAGTAAATGTAAACGTGATTTGAAATACTAATATATTTAATGATAATAAAACAAATATATTTTATAAATTCTGGTCATAAAAACACTTTAATGTTTTTTTTGTTCACAAAACAATACTATTTGTGGTTTTCATTTTATATTATACATACAAATAAAAATATATTTAATAAATACTACATCCATATAACTACTATAACTAAATATATAGTTCTATAAGTAAAATATTATTTTATTTTATCATAAAATAATGTATTTTTTGCATAATGTTATATTYRGGAAATAAAACTATTAAATTGATAAATTTTATAAATTAAATAAATAATTTATAGAAAATAAAAAACAAATAAACTTTTTGTTTTATTTGTATATTTGTTTTTTATTTGAATAAAATTTAAGACAAACAATAAAATTAAATAATCTTAACAAATAAAATAAGCTTAATAAATTATTTRAACAAAATATTARCTAAATTTATGTTAGTCTATGTTTAACAAAATATTTACATAATTTGAATGTTAATTTAAAGTTGTTTACAATAATAATATTTATGTTTTCTCTAAATAATCAATTTTATTTAATATTTATTCATTATTAATCATAATTTTATCAAAACATATATATATATATATCTAATGCAAATTAATTGATTATTTACCTAATATGACATTTACAGTACTAAAATTTTAGTTAAAATATAAATAATTAGTTATTATAATAAATTGTAYWAWTAATAAAAATAATACAGTTTGTATGATAACTTATTTCCACAAATTAAGATTTAATTATGAAACTTAATTTTAAAATAGATTTTCATATAAATTATACAATAATTTACATTAAATACACAAATTTCTATAAATATTAATTGAAATATAAAATATAAATAGTAACTAATAATTAAGCATTTTGTTTATTATTTACTGTATAATTATTAATGAAATTTTTAATAAATACATAAATAAAATATTTTAGTAATTTTATTTGATTAAACTTTCAAAGTTTTTTCTTTATTCAATTGTCAGTAATTCATATGAAATATTTAAATTAGTTTGAATGGCTTTTTWAAAAATAAATTTAATGAAGTCATCAAAACTTTAAATTATCAAAACATTTATTATTTAATACAAATTGACTTTGAGTTAACTCAAATGTCATTTAGTCAAATAGTCTAATACTGTAATAACTAATCTTTTAGATATAATAAAYTGCATTATTATTATTATTATTATTGAATAAACTGTTTGCATAATTAATGTTAAAGAAAATCTCTTGATTTAATTTTTAAAAATTAAAAATTAAAGTAAATTTTTATGTAATTTTTGTTTATGTAAATCTATTCTAATTTCTATTAAATACTAAACTTAAAATGAGTTTAATTTGTTTTGCGCAAAATAATTGTATATTAATTAAAAAAATATAAAATAATTTTTTATTGAATTCATTAACTAAAAATATTTACACTATTTTAAATTACTTTATCAATAAACACATAATTTAAACTATAGTTTTGTTTAATAACTGTTTTTATTTCCAGTTTAACACTAATGTTATATTCAATTGGCTGTAATTGATGTGACATTTGCTATACAAATGTGAAAATTGTGTTAAACAGTTAAGTAGTCTTTTGGGGATAAATTTGCAAACAATTTCTATTTGTTTAGAAGTTTGTAAAATAAGTCAATAGTTTATATATAAAAAAAATTAGACTTATTATACAATTTATAGTATTAACTCTCAATATAATAAAATTTATATTTCAAATGATTGCTAATTAATAGTAATTCTATAAGTATTAGCAAATAAAATGGTAAACAAAATAATAGTAAATTTTTTCGATGTGGACAATAAATTACTGTACAGTAAATACTAAAATATAATTTAAAAAACAAAAATAATATTTGATTTCTTAAAGTGATTGATATATTAGATAATTATATATTTTATTGTTTATTATACTTTTGTCAAAATTATATTTATATTTAAATTTTTAACAAACAATAAGTTTAATTATTCATAATTTTATTTAAAAATATAAAACTGTATTTAAAATTATAAACATTAATATCATATAAATATTTTCAAAAATATTATTTATATAGTTCTTACGTGTATCTTAATCACTAAATTATTAATATTTTTTATATTTATAATAAAATAGTTCAAAATTAAGAATTAAAAACATTTAATATTTTATTTAATTATTTTTTTTAATAAATTCATATTTAATGATGTAATCAATATCTGTTAATTATAATTATTGTTAACCCAAATGTTTCAATTTTATTATACAATTTATTGTAAGATATAACATAAGTTACTGTCATTTAACATTAAAACCATATACAGTATCAAAATATTAATTAAACAAAATTAAATCATAGAATATATATTTTATTTTAATTTTTCAAATAAAGATTTTTATTTTAATCAAAACTAGCAAAAGGCGTAACACATACAGCTTAGGGATGAGCTCTTTGTGTGTGTGTGTATTTGAGTGATAGAGAGAGAGAGAGAGAGAGAGAGAGAGAGAGAGAGAGAGAGAGAGAGAGAGAGAGAGAGAGAGAGAGAGAGAGAGACTAATGTATATAAATTTTTCAGTCATTTATCTGTAACTATTTAATATAAGCTCTCTCTCTCTCTTTCTTTCTATGATTGACTGTATTGAATGCACAGTGCATTTGACAACAAAGTAAAGGCAAACATTAAAAGTCAAGATTAATGATTAGTTGAATAAAATGATGTTTTATATGATTTAGTCATTGAATGTATTGGCAAACATACTGTACACATATCATTGACTGTAAAGCACTGGTAGTTCTGAAACATTACTGTTCCACAACAACTACCTAACCATTTGCCTCCTATTTGTTTCCAACACATTAACTGTTCTCCAACTGCATTGACAATCATCTGTTAATAATTGATTTTTTTTGTTGCTTAAGATTTATGCATAAATTTTTCTAAATTATTATATATTATATTATTTTTTATATCATATTTGTTTATAGTTAACTATAATTATAAAAATTATTTTTATATTTAATTAAAATAAAACAATAAAAAATATAAGTGTGTATAACTATTAATAACTTTTTATACTATTATTGAGAATTTGTTTTTTTATATAAAACTAAAAATTTTATTTTAAATTATTTTATAAGTTTTTCTTTCTCTCTATTGTATCATTTAGTAATTCTATCAACACATTAATGTATTAATAATTTTTGTTGTTGTGTGAAAACGTGATATCACATACAGTGTGTACACTAATGTTATAGATATCTAGAGAGAGAAAAAATTATTTAACGATACAACTTGTGATTAGATTAGAAATTTTCACTTCAATGTTATAATAGATAAAAAACGAGTAGTTTTTAACTTATTTTTTTTGTGTTGTTGTTGTTGTTGTTGTCTATACTTTAGAAACAGTGATATATTATACAGTCTTATAAAAAACTATGTTTTTTATCAATCAATCAATAACAACAACAACAACAACAACAACAAAACTTTTACTAATTAATTGATTGTCACTTACAAACAAAAACAATTTATAACATACGCAAAAAATAACTGATTTTTTTATCTAAAAAATCAAATACTTAATTATGCTAATATTGTTTATTAGTAATATGGGGTATAATTTATATTATATTATATAGTATAGTATTTTTTAAATTACATTATAATTATTAAGATTGATACAAACTTTGGCAACTATAACATACATACACACACACACAATGTTATTATAATATAATATAAATTTAACAGTATATATAAGTCATTAGTAAACAACAGTGTTTAGAAAATAATGTATTAAACAATTTATCATAAGTTTTTTTTAGTGTTTTTCCAGTAGTACTACAATAATAATAATAAGTTAATATATACTTAGGTTTACTAATTAGGTTTTCTTGACTAATAATAATTTTTATTGAAATTGTATTCAATGAGAGTATTGTATTAAAAAAAAAAAAATGATTAATGAATCTAATATTCATTGATTTTTTTCACTAACATCTAAACAATATTACAAAAATAAATGTATTAAACACTTACCTGACTGACTGTGTGAGTGACTGCCAAACATAATAATAATAATAATAATAATAATAAACGTTAAAAAATAGTTACAATAGTTTTGTACGCGTATTATAATATTAATTATTATAATAACACTTTAATATAATACTAGTGTTATTGTTTGGGAAAAACATTATTATCAACATTAACTACAATACAAAATAGTAATTCATATAAAGTAATTGTATTTAACTTGTTTTATAGTTTGTCCAAAAAATAATAATTATTGTTAATTGTTTTTAATGTAAAACATAAAAATAGATTACAAATGTTATTTAATGTGAAATAAAATAAATTATATTTTTTTGATTTGTTTTTATTATTATTAAAAATCATAATAATAAACAAAATTACAATTAATAACGTTATTATTAACAGACTTTATAAAAAATTAGTTGTTAAAAATAATTTATACTAAATTTATAAATATTTATTTTTTATTTATTAGCAATTAAGTTATCAATTATTTTTTTAATACAAATATAAATTGATAAAATGTAAATTTCAACAATTAAAAATGCGATACAATATATATATATACAATAAAATTGATTTTAACAAAATTCATACAAATATTATTCATAATTTGTCTAAAAAATGTGTAGATATTTGGCACAAAAACATTAAATTTATTTATTATTTAAAATATGATTTTTTTTTWAAAAAAAATGTTGTTAAACAAGTTTAATGATAATTAAATTAACAATTATTATAATTATTTGTATTTTAAACCCATTTCGGTGGAAACGGTTTTTGGTAGACGTGTTCGCGTGTTATCGGCTGACGTCCCGGTGTTTGTGTGGCACCGGWTGATGATATATAGCTCAGGTCGTCCACATCGCTAGTCTCGATACCGCCGGAGCCGTCAAACGGTACACACATTTTATGATCGATACGGGACAAGGCGTACGGCGATTGAAAATACAACTGCTTTTCTGATTGAACACAATTATGACTTTCCAGACAACTGTCCTTTAGATAGCATTGATTTTGATCATTAGTGAGGACTGATAGTTGATAGGCTGAGTCCAGTAGTTGATCGTCTCGACAGTTAAACTGTTGGCTATGATGTCGTATGGATTGACTGTTTGTATAATTGTTTTGATTTATTAGCGACTGTGGCCTACGTTTGTATAAAACAATTAGTCCGACACAKAGTATCACAGATAATACTATCACTGAACATATCACAGGTATGGCTATTGTTATGCTATCAAAACCTAACGGCGGTTCCCTTTCAGACAACGGCGATACCGTAGCTATAGATATAATAATAAMTACATTATCAGTAATTATGTATTAAATTAATTATTGAATTTTTGTTATCTATATTTTTATTTACCTCCATGAGCTGTGAGTGTAGAAAATTGGTAGACTTGTTCAGTACTGCCGGCATCGTTGACTGCCCTAACAAATAGTGAATACCAATTACCCGTTTTGAGAGCCTGTATCTCCAGACTGGTCTCATCGGGCCAGAGATGTGCATCCATTTTATGCCATTCCGTCTCATATTTTGTTAATTTGTATTTYAATTGAAACTCTTTGATCGGACAACCATTTGATAGCCACTCATCCARTCGTATGACCGCTGATGTCGTGTTTACTATTATAAAATCATTCAACTGTTTGGGTGCTGTCGGTGCTATGAAATATATTAATTATCACTAATATATTAGTTATTTATTATAAAAATGTATTATAAATTTCTAAGATTTTATAAATACCTGATCCCTTAGTTTTAATAGCAATGGCATCGCTTGCGTCTCCCTTTCCGATAGCATTATAGGCCACTAAATAAAACTAATYAAAAATTTTGTTATTATTATAAAATATTTAATAATTAAACAAATAATTATTTATGAATTTATTTTATATTTAACTTATATGTATWTAAAAACAATAAAATTCTTATACAGTTAATAATAATARGTATATTTTGTCAATTATTTAAAAATAAATAATAATAATTTAAAATCTATCTAAACATATAAAGTCTAGCGTAAATAAATCTGATTAACTTATAATRGTATTTAAAATATAAAATAACTTTAATTCTAGATKTATAATAAGTTATATTATTTTATTTATTTRTTTAGTTTTTATATTTTAATTTTAGAACTTTACTTTAAATTATTTTTATTTATAATTATATAAAATTTTAATATAATATAAATAATAAAATATATAACATATGATTGAATACCTGATATAATGTTCCGCATAACAGATCATTACTCGTATAGGAATAGGTCTTCAAACGCAACTGTTTTTCAATCCATTGTTTTGAATGGCTTTTCCAGTATATGTAATAACCGGTGATTGTGTTCAACGAGTCATTATTATTGCCGATATTATCATCTAATCCCTGGTCGGGGAACTTCCACTCCATTTCAATCCAATCGTAACCGACATCACCGATGGTCAGTATGGGTGCTGTGGGTCTGTCCATTAACAATGTCTGACCAATAATCTCCTCCGATTGCGGACCCGTCCCTTTGCTATCAATTTATTAGAAAAAAATAACGATTATTATTTGATAAAATAAAATATGATAATATTAATTATATGAAAAACAATTTTATAATTTATAAACTAATAGTTTATATAATTTTTAATAAAATATAATTTATTAGTAAAAAACTAGAAACTTTTATTTTAATTTTTTTTCTCATAACAAATTCAATAATAACTTTTTATGTWATATATATGTTGTTGTTATTACTAATACTCGAATTTTTTTATATCTATCAATAAAAATGACTAAAACATCAGYATATATATATATATTTGTGTAAAWTCTGTGACAAAAATATTATTAATACAGTTATCGTCRAAACAGTTATTGTGATAAACAGTCTATTGTTTGATTGAAATTTTGATGAAAATATTGTACTGTTTATATGATTAATACATATGTCAACAACAAATACATTTCAAACACAAACACACTGTATATGTAATACAATTTATAAATTGATATATATTTTACAAATAAAGTAAATATAAGATAAACTGTAAAAATATGTGACAAAATGTTTAGAGAGTTTATGATAAAAATTGCCAAAAATATTATACAATACTATGTATTAAACATGAGTTAGAAAAACAAGTAATTTTCTCTTTTACTTATAAATTAAGTTAAATTAAAACTGAAAACTTTTATTTCTCTTATAGACATTAATTAAATAATAGCTAAAATTAACTTTTAATACAATACAATATAATTAAAAGCAATTATTGCCCAAATAGTGAGTCAAATATCTTAATTATTTTGTATCAAATGTCTTACCCATTGAATGCCTGAACAACGACAGCATATTTAGTGTTTGGTTTGAGTGATGTTATGTTGACTTCGTTTCGTTGGTTTACAACACCCGACACATCACTAATCAATAACTTCTTAAACATATAGTTTGAGTCCAAAGAATCCAATGACTTATAACCCAAATAATAGCCAATAATGCGTCCATTTCTTGATTCAAGTGTCGGAGCCGTRAATGAGACGCCAAGGGATCGGGCACTCAATGGGAACACTTGGATGTGTTGRGGAGGACCTGACGGCTCTGATATATATATAAATACAAGAAAAACATTTTGTTTTATTCAGTTAAATATATTGTTAATGTAATTATCGATTATATTTAAATAAATGAAAMAGTTTTATGAAYACWATACTATTAATACAGTACTTATACAGTAATAAACTAATAATTTTCATAAAATTATAGACAATTCTTTATGCTTTTTAAAAATAAAATAATATAATACACAAAAATTTGAAAGACTGCTTAAAAACATAAAAATTATTGAATGAAAACTCTAWTTATATTTTAAAAATGTTAAMATTTATTAAATAAAATTAATGAATAGATTTGCACATGAATTCAAACAATTATCCATTTATTATATAAAAACAGTATTACATTAACGTATATAATAGAGTAGTAATATTAAAACTAATTAAATTTTAACAGTACTATAATACTGTATTAAAATCATTTTGATTTTTTAAAATTTACTCAAAAAAATACTAACTGATTATTWTCATAAATTAAAAATTTTATGAACAAAAAGTCAAATGAATTWAAAAAATTTGAATTTTTTAAAACTAAAATATATCTTAAATTAATGAGTGATTTTTATGAATATAAAAGATATAATAATAATAATAAACATTATATATGTCCTAATATTTTGTACTTAAATATTAAACWCATTGTATTGTTAATACATTATATATATCTCTATAATACATAAATCTATTTATATAACTATTGATAACTACTGCATGTATTAGACATTTAAAAGTCTTATTATATAACAATAATGAATATGTGATAAGTTTAGCTATAATAATGTCATTACCTATAATAAGGTATGTATTTTGTATGAATGAAATGAATATTTGATGTTATATTTTATCATCAATTTTTAGTAATAATATTAATAAAATACTTTATCAACAAAAYATACATACCTTCCTCAGTGGTAGTAAAGTGTATGTCTTCACTATAGGCACTAAATCCACATTTGTTTTCCGCTCTCAACCGCACGTCATAACTGGTCACAGGTTTTAGTCCTCTAATAGTRAATGAAGTATCGCTTCCGGCAATGCTTTCAATCATTTTATCACTCATTGATTGCCAGCTATTGACTGATATCTTGTATTGTAATCGATAGGCCGTTATAATGGTGTTCCCAGAGTAGGGCTCTATCCATGACATGACTGCACTGCGACTCGTAATCTCACTAATCATTACATTGTGTGGTATATCGGGTGACTCTATTAGAGAGGATATGAAATATATGCAGAAAATTTATAACTGATTATCTAATTGACTATAAATTTTGTTATCAATCACTAATTAGTTGACAACAAATTGCTGACACTTATACTGTATTAAGTGTCTCATTCATACTAATATGTAGTGACATATCCATTATATTACAAGTTTAATGTCATTAATCAATACAATTATATACATTATATATTATACAACACTATTTCAAGTCTATACATAATTAGCCACAAATTAAGTCAAATTATCTAAAAATTTAATTATTAATCTAATTATATCTCAAYTTAATGTTAATTATAATATAATATCAACTCTAATAATAGTCTATACAAACCCTGAACAATGAGCTGATAGTTATATTCATCTCTTCCGTACWGATTGTATGCCAAACACGTGTACAATGAACTGTCCGCACGTGTCGTTTCTTTGATKTGTAATCGCAACAAATGCCTGTCATTTGTCTCATTTCTCAACATTTGATATCTATTATTATTATTATTATTATTATTATTATTATTATTAAGTTGTTTGACATCCAATGGCATCCCATCCTTAGTCAAYGATATAGTGATGGGCTGTTCACCATATGATAGGCAATCTATCCAAACGGACTGTCCATTKGTAACTGTTTGCGATTCAAACTTAGTCTTGAAGTGAGCGCCRACTGTCAAAAAATTAAATTATTTTCCACTAATTCAATAAYTAGYATTAAAAATAAAAAATTATTATTATTAATAAAACTTAGTTATCTATAATATATAATTCTTATAGAAAATTACATATTGTTTAAAMGTTTAAATATGGTTTAAATTATATTTYGTTTYATTATAAAAATAATTAATATATTTTTATAATAAATATTTTGTATTAAWTATATTAAAATATTTTTCTAATTTTATGAAATATAATTGTAAAGCTATTAATATACTATTGAATGTAAAATATATAGTTATGTTATATATACAATATATACAAAGTAGTTAAATGATATATTGTTTTTTAAATAACAACTTTTAAAAGTTTTTTACGTATTGAAAACATACTGTAATTTATTTCAAATATTTTATATATAATGCATATCTTTTTATTCAAACATAAATTWAAATCAATGAATTAGAAATWATTATTTTATGATTTATTATTTAATTTGAAATAAATAAAAATAATWTTCAACTCAATAAGTTTTTATTTTGATAAATTGYTTATAACGTCAACAACAATAAAAAATATTATGATTACATACCGTGTACTTTAAGTGTAACCAATTTGCTGATACCGGTGCCCACACCGTTGTTGGCCTGACACAGATAGACACCCTCGTCATCGAGTTGGACATCATTGATGGCTAGACTGCCGTTGAACAGTGAATGCATGTGTGAGTTACTGATGATTGTCCTGAGCTGTCCCTCCCGGAGCTCCGATCGTTCCCACCAAACACGTGAGTGACCGCTTGAAACACARTCCATCACTACTCGTTGGCCGACAATAGCTTCGGTATCTGACGGACTGATTATCCATTTGGGAKGCACTGAGAGTTGTTTAATGAAAAATAATATATATATATATGTATATATATATATATATATATAATATTTTATTAGATAAATAATTATTAATTATATAAAATAAAATATYTATATTTWAAAAAAATARTTTAATTTGTTATAAAATTTCAATAATAATAATAATAATATTAAAAATAAATAATWATATTAAATAATATAATATGATATTTATATTTAAAAATCTTATTAATCAAAATACTGTAATAAAAAACACAAAATATAATTATATTTAAAAATACTTTTTAAATTTTTGGTGTTTAGTTAGCTAATAAAAATAAAATAATTAATACAAAAAATATAGACAAACCTAAAACAGTTAGTATTGTCGAGTATGAAGTGTTGGCCACTCTATTGGACGCCAAACACGTGTAGTTACCGGAGTCGTCGGCCGTAACATTGGATATGAATAGTGTCGTCGAAAACATATTGTTTGACATCAACTTAATCGTATTGGCGGACGACTTGTCCCGTKTGGYCAAYAATTGGCCCACCGGTACGTCATCTTTGAGAAACTCTATAGTAAGCGGTGGGTCGCCCTCAACGACAGCACAGGTAAGCAATTGACGCATACCTTCCCTGAGATTAGGCGAAACAAAAAACGGTGCAATCACTGGTGCGGCCAATACTTCAATRTAGACGTCGCTGTGTGCCGAACTACCGGAGCTGCTGTTGACTGCACACCTATACCAATGCCTATCGGTATGACTGTCCGCTGATTCAACTATCAGTGTGCCGTTTGTTAAGCTTTTCTGTCGATGATTTTGTGGCAGTTTATGCCACACACGCTGTCCTCCACTACCAACTGTAGTAAAGTCACTACCAATAAACCATTGAATAGATTTCATGGGATAACCATTGGCCGGACAGTCGACTTGTAGTGTTTTCCCCGCAATGACAGTGATATTGTGTGTAAATTGTCGTACAAATACCGGTCCCCTAACCACTACTCGATTGTAATGTACGACTGTATTCATGGTATTTAATGCCAAACATTTGTAACTAATTGTATAAAAATTAAAAATACAATAATAATTATTTATTATTTATTATGTGTTAATTTAAACCAATTAATTTACTATAGTAGTAGCTTTTTTAAAAAATATTTAAATAAACATAATAAAAATATTAGGCAAAATGTAATTATTTTTATATATTTATCTAAATATCTATTATTATAAATTACAACTTATATACATTAGTTGGACGAAATAAATATATTTATTTGTAATTTATAATATTTTAATTTAAAAAAAAGTATTTAAGCCTATTATAAATATAACAAAATAATTATTGATTAAATTGATTTTAATTATTTTTTAAATAATAAAATAATATTCAAAATTTAATCATAAAATACAATTTATAGCAAAAATATATTATTAAAATTAAATTTATTTATTAATAACTATTTTTTAAAAAATAATATGAAAAAACAATACATACAGTCCTCCGTCATCTGTGCGAACATTAGTTATATTGATATAACTGTTGACAACACTATCACTGCTAACATAGTCGCCGATCCGTATCCTATAGCTATCGGTGATGGGCTGTCCGTCGACCGTCCAAATGATTTGAGGCAACGGTAGACCTTTTGCCGAACATTTGAGCGATARGTCGACGCCCGGCGACAGCGGTTCCATCGGTGGAAATGTATAGACAAAGTGCGGTCCGTCACTAATCACATGTATCTCAGCACTGGACGATCTACTCGACCAATCATTACTGACTATACATTGCTATTAAAAAAATTATAATAATATTTATATTAGTTTAATTAAAAAACTATTTAGTAATAATTTATTAAATAATGTATAAATTATTTTTTGTTTTTAATATATAAAATACTTAATTATTAATAAAAAATTGTGTAACCATTCAAATAAAATCTAAAATATAATTATGTCATTTTATATGAACTCATAGTACTTTATATTATATTAATTTATATTATTGATTATTASTTTCTATTTATTTTTACTTTATATACTCTATTATTATTTCTAAATTATAGTAAAGTTTTATAATAAGATCTGTTAACTAAATTATATAATAAATCTTATGTTTATACTTACATACATAGCCTGATCTATGGCATCAATTTGTTTGATATGTAATGAACGATCATTATATAGTTTAATGCGATTATTATACACAATTGGTTTGCCATTCATTTTCCAGATCACATGGCCTACCGGTGCTCCGGTAATACTACAGTTAAGCTCAACTGAATCGCCCACTCCTACCATCAAATGCGATGGATTTATACTAACACTTAGCGGTGCTTTTTGATTGAGATTATGGGTTATAGAGAATAATATTAAAGATTATATTATAAAATAGTCAATTTATWTTGTATTTTGTATTTTGAATATATTTTGAAYATATTTARTAGTAATTGCATTTTTAGTAATTTTCATTATAAATTTTATTACAATAATAAAATTTTGTTTTTTATTTTGAAGATTTGTCATGGATTTAAATACTATATCTTTATATTAGTTAATAAATTTTAAATGAAATAAATGTAAAAATTAACAATAATAAAATAATCACTTGAAATAAAAATTTATTTATATAAATTATTTTTTCATATTAATAATAAAGTAACTAATATAATTATTTTAATATGTAATTTAGCTGTTTACTAGTTATATTAAATTAATTTATTAAAAAATCTAGAATTTTCAAATTAAAGAACAAATAATTAATTAAATTTAATTAATTAAGCTATAAAATTTAAATTATCTAAAATTTAATATCATCAACAGTTAAAAACATTAATTATATAACTATATGTACATTATGTGTGAATATTAAAATTAATAGCTATGGTTAAGATTTAATGGCTTAGTATTAAAGTTTTATATTAATTAATATAAACTTAATTTTATGGAAAATATGTTGAGATATACAAAGTGTTAGATTTTTTGTTGTACATCACTGAACACACACTTATATGAGTCCTTAAACATATATATATAACTCTAATATTTTGCTGAAATATTATTTTTGAAGCGGAAAACCCCTTTAATTGAGACATAAAATTTCTAAATGTATTTTTGCCTAAATTACTATATCATCTGTGGTTTAATTGAATTGTSAAACTCTTAATGTCATTACTAGTCTTTTTAAAAAAAAATTWAAGTATTGATTARAAAAAATATATAGTATTTTTTTGCCTTTTTATATAAAAATAWAAATTATATCCATTAGTATTCAATTGTAAATCTATAGCAAAAAAATTACAAAAAATGCATATATAATACTAAACTAAAAGTATAAGATGTGTGAAAATTAAAAGATGTTATATAACTCAATATAATATTATTGAATAAATTAGTTAACGAGAAATTGTTTAATAAGCATAAAATCTGTGCTAAAAAATATTAATATAATATATAAGTTTTATATATTATATWTAGTATATTGCATAACTAATATAATTATATTTGGTTTACAACTAGAAATAGCTTTAAATACCAAGTTTTAGAAAAAAATATATATTTTAAGAAAAATACAATAATTTTTAGTTATTAATGTAAATATMTTAAATTAATAGTTTCATTTAATTATATTTAATAATTTTTGTTTGATTATAATTTATAATTTATAAAAATATACAAATAATTTCAATGACATACCTCTGACTATAAGCTGTGTATGACTGGTGTCCTGACCCACACTGTTATTACACACACAGACATACTTTGACGAGTCATCCAATAAAACAGATTTTATTATAAGTGATGAATAGATTTGCGTTAAACGAGTAGTCAATGAATTGGACACAAATTTCTGGTCACTAGTAGTTATGGCCGACAATCGGTCCAATAGTTGTGATTTATGATTAAACCGATACCAGACTACATGTGGTGGTGGATATCCCTGTGCACTACATAACAGTTCAACTGTTTGGCCGACAATGGCTGACACTTTACTAAGGCTTGTAGTGATTTTTGGCGACAAATTTGATTGTGACTCTATTTATATGTTGTAATAATAATAATAATATTTTTATGTATATTAGACTATATTACTAGTATTAGAGTATCTAATATTTTATAATTTAATATTTAATAAAATGTTTATAAAAAAATCTATTTTACTATTTATATCTAAATTGATATTATTTAAAATTATAAATATTATATAATGTAATTAAAATTATTGTAAGTTTTTAAAATAATATAACTTAATAGTTGTTTTTAACATATTATTTTTAAACAGATAAACTACTTATATATATATAAAGTAATTAATCTATTAATATGCTAAATAAATTGTTATAATATTATACACAATTACTTATGTTTACTTACGATAAAACTATAAAAAATAATTAATTAAAATAATAGAGTATCATATTTGACGTGTGTTTGCTTACATGTATTTATGAAATAATAATTAATAGTTTTAGTATTTTTTCTGTTTTCCCATTCATTTTATTTTATATCATTAATAATTTTATATAATAATAATAATTGTTTTATCAAAAAAACTGTTTACCGGTAACTATAATACGTCCGGAATTGGCGCTGACTTTCACTTCATCGTTGAGTTTGTGTTTAGTCTGACATCGATATTGTCGGTGACTATCAGTGATGGCATCGACACTATGGATGACAAGATCACCGGTAGATAACACACTAAATCGGCCGCCTATTGATGGATAATATAATTTTTAATATAATTAATAAAATAAAAAATAATTTAAATTTTTCTTCTACTGTTTGTAATCGTTTAAATATATTTTTAAATATAATGTATTATATTATAACATTTTCATAATTATCTTCTATGCTGACTATGTAAATTAAATATAACTTTAAATTACTGATAAAATGTAAAATAATACTGATAAGTATATTTGTACTCATAATTATGTTTAATAATACTGTATAGGATTTTATGTAGTAATACTATGTAATACTTTTGTGTTATAACACAATTTTAAATACTATTATTTTAATACTTATTGTTATTGTTGTTAATTTTAATTACTATTATTTAATATTGTTGTGGTTTATAAGTGACTAGTGTTGTGCGTTAATACTGAATTTAATACTATTAGATATTTAAGGGATTAATACTATTTTGGTTTCAATACATTGTAAAACAATACTAAGGTAAATACTATTGTAATACTGATTATAATTATTGTTATTTATTGTTGTTATTATTAGTTTATTATTATTACTATTATAATTATACTGACTATTATTATTATTATTGATTATTATTATTACTATTTTTTGTTACTACAATACTGTCAGGAAAAGATGTTTATATAGTGTCGGTGGCGCCATCTATTGATGGGCACCGACACTAACAAAATTAATTAATAGAGTTGGGAACGGAATTCCCGGTTTCGTCCCGGCGGGACAAACCAGGAGTCCCGTCCCTAAAGGCTTAGTTATATTGAAACGGGATGATTACCCGGGTGACCGGATAATTATCCCGTCTATAATACAAAATATACAACACTATTTTTATTAAGTGGGTTAACACCTAACAGAAACATAGGGAATATTAAGGGAATATATAATGAAAATATAGGGAATTTTTATGGGAATATTTTATTAATTAATTAATTTCTTTAATTCTTATTGGGAATTAAGTATAGTATATGAATTTATATTAGGGAAGGCACGGCATGTTTGCACACGACACCAATAGGTGTTGTGCGCAAACAATTAGTCCCATTGATTTTGAGAGTATATAAACTGCTGTAAACCATTCATTTGGTTATGAAGTGTTGGGTTCAGACTTAAACCAGTTAACCCTAAAGAGTGCTTAGGATTTGCATTAAACTGCAAACCTAATAAAATACCATTGGATTACATATAAATTTATTGTACTTTTGTTTTTATTATTATTATTCAAATAAATACTGTTATACTCATTTACAATACGGATTACAATTTATTTTAACTCAACGGTGAGTCGTCAGACTTGGACGGTATCTGTTTACGGATAGATACCGGTTGTGTTTCATCAGCTCGTATCGGACCGCTGTGGCGTAACAGTGGCTACGAATTAGTGTAACACAACGCAATATTTACAGCTATTTTTATCATTAATATTTTCATTATGTGATAATAGATTACTTTATTTTTAATACCATTTTGAATGTTTGAATGAATGGTTAGTCCATCATTTGTTAGCCAATTGGTAACCAAAACATAATCTCTTATAAATGCAGGTATTATATCACATCTTAATATCTAATAAAATATTAAATAATTTAAATCAATATTAGATAAAAAATTTATTTAAATTATATATAAATACTGAAACATACGGCAGTATTGCCTTTAATAACAAACTCATCGTAAACTCGCACTTCATATGACTGTCTAATACCTAATAATAATAAAAATGATTTTTTTTTTTTTAACAAATTACAGATTCTATTAAATTTTATTAAATAAAAAATGAAATAAAAATATTTTGTATGTGTGTCTTAATATTACAAATTTTCTAAATATATATATACTGTATATATATTGTGGCATTTTGTGTAAAATTTAATAAATATTAAATAGAATTTAATATTTTTTTTAATAATTATTACAGTTTTTGAAAAATTCTCTAAATTGTAAAATTATTATTTTTAAATAATAACTATAATACTATGATATTAAAATAAAATTTATTTAACAATAATTTTTTTACAAATGGATCTATATATTAAATTTATTGATTTTTTTATAAATTTATGAAAAAATAAAAAGTATTAACAATAAAAAAGTATTTATAAATACTGTATTAGTATATATTAATATATAAAGTTATATACAATACGATTATAAAATATATATTTCAACACATTTGACAACTGAACTATCAATATCACTGTTATATATTATTATCTATAATACTAATAGTACTACTAGTACTACAAAAAATTATTATTGATGTCCAATGGGTCTCAATATGATAGCTGTCATCGAAAACACAAACTGACAACACGTTTGACTTAACAAACAGTATATCTCTATTAAAAGTCTAGTAAATAATATCTTTTAGTTTTATTATTTCATTTATTTTATTTAAAAAATATTAATAAATATACAAATTCTATAAATTCAACAAATATTAAAACCATTTAATTAAGTGATTATTTCATATATTTTATTTAAAAAATAATAATAAATATACATATTCTATAAATTCAACAAATATTAAAACCATTTAATTAATTGATATTAAATAAACAAATAAATAATTATTGTATAAATAATTTAGCCATCAATTGATCAAAATATTATAATAAACTATTAGTATTAAAATCAATCAAATGAATAATTATTTATATCTGTTTATAATTTTATTGTAATATTGTTTTGTAAAAATATTTATTATTAGGATTTTTAGTAATCCATATTGTAATTCAAAATTAAAATATTTGTATTCAGTATTTAATTATGATTTAAAATAATTTATGTGATTCTGAAATTCTTAATACACTTTTAATTTTTTTGTTTAAATTTCTATAAATAAAATTATAAAAATGCTATTTATTATTAATACAGWATGTGTTWGTGTTTAGGATTAAATTTTAATACTTAAATGATATACAATTAGATATTTAATTTAAATAAGCAGCTTATTGTATGAAATAAATATGATAAAATAATTTATTATGCAAATTCAAAATAATAATATATTTATATGTTAAAGTGTAACTATTGTCTAAAATAATAGGATTTATATATTTAATACAAAGTTAATACATCATTTATCAAAAATACTTTATTCAATAATAATAATAATAATAAGAAAAATGTTGAATAATTTTTGTATATGTTTTAATATACTAAATAAAATAAATATATTGAAAACAACTGTAACTTTGAATAGTAATTGAATTGTTTAATATATATATTTATTTAAGTTATATAACAGCGGAATTAGTTTATAAAAATACGGAATTTATTATTATTTTTATTTTTTCATATTTATTATATTTGATTTTTGAAATAAAAACTGAGTTATAATATGTGAAAAGAAAACTAAATACTATTATTAATAAAATTGTTTTACTAATTAAATACATATATTTATATGGATTGAACTATAAATTATTTACTAAATATTTATTAATCAATATACTAATCATAACTACAGTTATCGATTGTCTAGTAAATCAGTTTAGTTAGTTAATTAACATTTAAATATTGTAATACTATTTAACAATACTGTTGATTATTAATTTGATTAATTATTAAACATAAAATAATAACTATATTAAACAAAAATTAATACTATTTGAACAAATCTATTGTATAAAACATTTTATATGTTAACTGATGTTGAATGACAACTACACTAATAATTGACACACATTTATGATAATAGTATATCCAATGCTCATTAAATTGATGAGACAATAATAAATGATTGCACAGTTAGGTCATGATATCAGTGATCAATACTGTAAATGCATTCAAGACGTGTACAGCATTTTTACATCCATTTTCTTTACAAAATCATTCATTTCTGTTAATACTATAGTATTATATAAAATACAATTAAATTACTGTAACTAATATTAAATATCAATGCTTTCTCTTTTTTTTATATAATATTATATAATAGTATACAATATATTGCAAACCATATAAAGTAAATACTACTATGGGTTTTATAATTTAACTTATAAGTAGTGTTTAATATAATAAAAATAAAGTCTAATTATAATACAATAAACTATAGAAATAAAAAGTATTTTATTTTTACTGATATTAAATTACACACACATTATGAAAATAAAAATTTCAATTAAATTAGTTTAAAACAAAAAGTACTTTTAAGTTTTAAAAAAATTAATTAAAAATATATGTTAACTAAAATGTACTAGCATATACTTCTTAATTAATTTAAATAAAATTGACTATATGAATAGTTATTTTCAAACAAATAATTTAATTTTAATAATAATTTTTACAATTTAACTACAATTGAGAAATAAATGTTATAATATAAATCAAAATTTACTTAAAAGCTAATAAATATAAAATTAAACTAACTTTCTAATTAATTAATTAAATAGAAATCAATATTAATAATTTATTAATTGTCATAAAATTAAGTGATTGATAAATATATTAAATAGCGATTTAGTTTATAAATTTAAATAAAAGATTATTAAATAAAAGATTTAAAAAACAATTATTAAAAATTAGTAATAATAAACCGATAGATAAGTAAAATTCAAGTTTTTTGTTCACTTAATAAACTAAACGCCGACACAAAAACAAATCAATGCAATAGATATATACTGTAAGTGTTAATACACACAATGTGTTTGTTCGACCAAACGGTGCATCTATTGAGCGGAAAGACATTTTTTATAGACATCCCTTAGACATCCCTGTGCTCTCATTATATGACAGTATATTTGATGTCTTTAAGAGACACACGAAGAAAACTATGAGTAGTGTAGTGTAGTGTTGATGACAGCCATACAAAGCACAGACACTACATATAAATTATATCATATGATAAATATTAATATTATAAAAAAATAAATGAATAACAATATTATACGAGACATTAAATGAATGGATATCAAAAATTACTGTTTAAGACATTTAAATAATAAGATTATATATTGAAAGTTAATAATAGATGTAATTTATATATATATATATAAATATAATTAAAATTATTAATAATACTCTACTATTTATAAGTGAAGTTTTGCAAAGAAAATTATTTGAATATAAATGTATATTACAATAGAAATACAATATCCATACCATATGGTGCCGGCTATAAGTATAATATCGATATAAAAGTTATTATATGACAGTAGTATTAGTAGTACAGTATGTTTGCGAGTCATTAGGCATTAGTAGTGAAAAAAATAGATCGAATAAATAAGGGATGGTTTGATAAAAATAAAATAAAACGAGGAATGGTATGTGTAGTGTATGTCCCAAATGACAGCAAACATTAATACTGTATTCAAGTCATACATACAGTTCACACACAAATTGTTAGATATTTTTTTCATTTAAACTAAAAATAGCGATACAAATGTTGGAATAAAAAAATCAATTTCTATTTAGTTATTTATATCTTATATATATATTTTTTGAGTACAAAATAGTCAGATATTATGTTTGTGTATATATTCAATATGTTTAATATGTTTATTATACAATATGTTAGATATAGAAATAAAATTCTAAATTAGTATCATATTATGATATACTATATAATGTATTGATAATAGATGATTTCAATAATAACAACAAAATGCAAAAATTTGTATTTAAATTATGTTTCTTATCAAACATTGCATTAATTATAAATTAAATTGTAGTAAATACAGTATACAAGTGTTAGTTCAACAAAATTAATTAATAACATCATTTATTATTTATTTATAGACACTATATTATTATGTATTTTATAATTATATGACTAGAATCTAAAATACTGTATTTATTAAAAAAATATACAGCAATTTTTTCTATCAATTTCAGTATAAACAATTTATWTATAACAATATTTTCAATAAAGTTATAATGAGATAAAATAAAATTATTTTTAATAAAAACACAAAACAATATGTTTGCCTAAAATCTAATAGTTTTTAGTAATAGTAAAATATTTTGTTGTGTGTATRTGTTGTAAACATTTAGTTGAAATCATATATAGATTTTTATTTATTATTTATCTATCTATCGATTTATCAATATATTGGATGAACAATACAATACAATGACACTAGAAATAAGATTATTTTTGTTCAGTTCAATTAGTAGATTCATTTCAAAAATAAAACTACAAAAATTAKTTTATTATTATTATTGCCAATAGGTTTGAGTAAAAACAATGTTGAAAATAATAATAATAACAAAAAACAAGATAAAAATATTTATTGTTAGTATTGTTAAAGTTATTATTGAGAAATAAAAAACAATTATAACTTTATTCTTATAGAAAAAGTTGAGAAAAAATTTATTTAAGATTTTTATACTAAATTAAAGGTAAGGAAATAGTTTTTTATTTATATTAAACAGAAAGTTAATATATAATTAGTATTATGTTATAAATAATTTTTAAAAATACTAAATAATAATTATTGATAATTAATTTCAATGACTTACTGGCTCTGATGTTACACTCAGTGCTCTCAATAGTACCGACACTATTGACGGCAACACAGCGTATGGATGACCAGTGTATGTCCTGTTGGTAGTCGTGAGCGGCAAACGGCATATACACCACTTGACTGGTATAGCCGTCAGCAGTGAGCACCTGTATTATACTATCCCTATTGACTAATGGCGAGCCATCGGATTTAATCCAATGGATTTTCGGATCAGGATTTCCTATTTAGTTAATTAATGTTTGATATAAATAAAACACAATTAAATATATTTAGTATAAATATACACAAATAGAAAACAGTATTTATTTTGTATAATTTACTAACTATTAATAATTAAATTAAATTTTAATTACATTCGAGTTGTTTAGCAAATGTCAAATTACTACCAATTTTTAAAAAAAATTTTCTAATAAAGCTAAACATTTTTTTCTCAATCATAAACATTTTAATATTAGTAATTTTGTTCAAATGATAAAAAATAATAAATAATTGTAAAAAACTGTTCGKATGCTCAAAAAATACAATAAAATTATTTTTTTTAAATAAATAGAAATGTTTATTCATTAATTGACTAAACTCTCTATTCGTTAAAACTATTTTAAATTGATTTGTTTAATCGGAAAAAACAATATTGTGATATTGAAAATATAATAGAGACATATATTATATTAATATATATATATATATATACAAATAAAATAAATGGCTTATTTATTTAAAAATATATTAAAAATAAATATATACTATATATATATATATATAAAATGCTATTTTATTTCTCATTTATTCAGTCAGTCAGTCAGTCAGTCAGTCAATCAGCCATCCATTGCATTGTAAAACCACTACCAAAATACTATTGTGACTAATATATTATACAAATGTCCAAAACACATACCAGTGCTCACACACTCCCAGCACACATACTGTGACTTTTTTCATTGACTAACTTATCCATTGAATCACTCCYTAACACACACACACACACACACACACACACACACACACACACACACACACACTATGTATCCGATAGTATTGTACAAAATAAAAACATTTGGAAAATAATAAGAATTGATTTTATTATTTATTATTATAATAGACTTGTCTTTAATATATTTGAAATGTAAATCCCATTTCATTTGCCTTTAGTTTTTAGGTTTATTTCAGACGTGTTTTGAAGATAATATACATTCAAAGGCAGTTTTTTGTACATTTATTTTATTAAAATATATATATATATATAAAAGTTTTTATTGGATTTGTTTTTTTTCGTATTCAATGTTGTTTAGTATACAAATAATACTAAARTATATTACATAAGTTGTGGGATAAAAACTTTTATTTAATAAAACAGAGACACAGTTGTGTATAGCTGTTAATAATGTTTTCAAAAAATAAATAACATAAAGAAACTTATATTATAAATATTTTATTTGTTATGTATTAAATAATACAGTATTTATATTTTTTCATATTATTAAAAATTATTAAATTAAAATTWAATATTAACTTATTAGTATTRTTAATATTTAATAAATTTGATTGTTTGTGTCTATAACTAAATATGTTATAAAAATTATATAATATACTAAAATAATATAATGTAAATTATWATATATCATATGTTATAAAATGTTATATATTATTATTGTTTTAATTCTCATAATTATAATTATTAATCGATTAATTTTTAGACATTATTTAAGATATTTTATTTATTTTAAATGATAAATCATTTAGAAACAATTATTTATATATTTTCTATAAAATTATTATTATTTAATAAACTTTTTTGTATTTACAAAACCATTGAATTAAAATTAAATATAAAAAATAATTTTTCTTAATATGAATTTACATCTAATATTAAATTGTATGATAATAGATGTAAAGTTAACAAAACAACAATATATTTTAAACTAACTCAAAAAACATGTCATTTAAAAACCAAAATGTATTTAAAATATTTAAGTTATTTTAATATGTTTTTAGTTGACTAACAGAATATTCTATAATATAAAGGAATAAATAATAAAATTCAAAATAAATTTTTTAGAGAATATTTATGAATTCAAGTTATAAAAGTGTATAAAAAAATTTTAATATAAATTTTGTTGCTACAATTTTTTTAAATTTTTTATGATAATAAAATTATTCATTCAATAACCATATATTTTGTATRAATAATASAGTAAAAATGTTAACAATTTTTATATTGATGTACATTTGTCTATAGGTATGTGTGTTTGTATACATAAAAATGATTTGTATTTTATGTTTTTTCCACGATTACAATATATTTTAGTAAATAACATAAAAAATGTCATCTTTTTATGAATTTAAAAAAAATAATAATAATAAATTAYTAAATAGTTTATTAATGATTTAAATAACAAAAAAACATTCATACATACATACATACATACGGTAATACACATACAAATACATTAAAATTATAAACTAAAAACAATTATATGATATTTTAATATAATAATATATTATGATATATTTTATACTTTATAACAATTTATAATAATTACTACAAACCTTTAGCACTGCATGTAATGACAGTACGGGTGTCGTTGAGAAACTCAACCCTATTGTTGGGTTCAATCAAAAACTGTGGACCCCTTAGCTCTAGTGATGCATCGATTAATATACARAAWAWTWATATCAAAATTTATATAATTATWAATGAATTTATATTATAATATTTTRATARTTCATAATTATTAAATTTTATTTCTAAAGTAAATAAATATAAACGTATTGTATTAATGTTTATTTTATTCATTATTCAATCTTTCTCTCTCTCTCTCTCTCTCTCTCTCTCTCAATATATTATTTAAAATTCAATATAAAAAAATTTGTTTTTTAAAAATATTTTAAATTTACTTTTTTTAGTATAAAAACAAATATTATACAAAACGCAAACATTTATTAATATATAAAGTTTTGGATGAATATCTAATATAACTGTTAAACTGGAGGGCATTTTGTGTCATCAAAACTGTTGTGCAAAACACAGCAAATATTATATATAATATATACCTAAAGTGTTTACATTTGGCTTACAATAATGTTTTTCATATAAAAAAAAAGAGCTAAAACTCATTTCTCATTTAAAGTCTCTAAAGAAAAATACATCGACTAAACAAACATTACATTTATAAACACAGTATATATTTGTATAGAAAGATATTGAGATATATTGTGCTAATAAAGTGCTTAAATAAGTGCTATTTTTAGAGACAATTTGTGGTCAAAAGCATATATAAAATAAATGATTATTTGGAAAATTTTATTTATTATCGTAATTATTAAATAAATACTATAGAAATATAATAGTTTATCTATATTATAGTTTTATTGCTAATTAAACAATAATGAAAATTAATTAGGCATTTCAAAAATCAAGTAMATAATATAATTTATTAGTCTATTAATATAAATAATTTTTTAATAACTTTAGTTTTTCWATATAATATAATACGGAATAATAATAAAAAATAATAAAAAGAATATTTTTATGATATTTATTAAACAAATGTAAAATAGTAATAATGTATTGAAAGTATTGATATTGAAATAAATTATCATGTACATTTATTATGAAAATTTTTGTAATAAATTATTAAAWGTAAACAGTCAATTATTTATTAAATTATTTATAYATAATACAGTATTTTTATATTACTTTATAAATATTATATATAATATTTATAGTAGTAATATAATTATTATATATAATTATATTAGCAATCAGTGATCAAATGTTTTGTCATATTTTCATAACATAATCATATAATTCATAATCAGATTAGATATATAAAGTAAACATTGTTTTTTACTTATTATTGTTTTTACCTATAATTTGAGAAATTTATGAACAATACMTAATCTATAATATGTAATAAATTATTATTAGTATTAAATTTTTTAAAACTAATGTTTTGTTTTATTAATTTAATTAYAAACTATTGTTATTATTTTAGTAACTTATTTATATTTAAGATATTTAAATTAAATTATATATAAGTTATGTACAAATATATGAACAATAAATTTTTATATAATATTAACWTTACCTGATAAATGTTGACTAWAAATATAAGATGTTAAATAWAATATAAACAATAATCCAATAATTATTGTTAACATAATAAATAAATAAATAAATTGATATTTTAATTGTTATTAGATTATAGAAATTACAAAAAAAACACAAATAATTTACACTAAAAACATGAATTATGAAAACATATAAATAATATGATAGTTATTATAATTATTTAGTTGATTTTTTTTATTAACACACATTATTATTATTAGTAGTAGTATTTATATATATACAGTAAATATATATATATATATATATATATATATATATATATCCAAATTATTATGGTTTTTGATAATAATAATTATAAAATTGTAATAATTAAGTTTATAACAAAAATTAAAATAACATTTATTTTAGTGGTTAATTACATTCAAGACATTTATAATTAACTAGTTTTTTATTCAAACAAATTTAACATTTTATCCATCAATYAATCAATCAATCAATCAATCAATTATGTCTTTCATCCAATAAATTGTTTACTATGTAGTGGTTTCTAATAGTTGTTGTCTTTTATAATGCAATACAAATAAATTATAATACTTTATTTGTGTGTATGTTATTGTTAGAAATGCTATAGTCTTTAATATAATAGTAATCCTTATGGCAATTGATAATACATTTTGTTTGGTATTATTATTATTAACATTATTGAAGTACTGGTGCACTGAACTAACCGTTTAAATTAGAAAAGTATTTTCTAAAGCATTGTTCCGATACTATACATACTGTAGTCACTCAATGGTATGGTATGACTGACTGATGCTTTCGAGAGCACCGATACGTGAATCATATGGTTGTAAGGAAACTGTGTTATTATAGTTCTTCCTATTCGTACAGATATTATATTATATATATTAAGCACAGACTCAGTCATCACTGATATAATCAATAAGTTTAGTGATCAAAGACTTTATACTCTATKGACTCAAATGTATTATTTTATCAATTCCTATGCAAATCTAATATAAGGAAATATTTATTATTTATAAATAGTATTATTAATTTAGATATATTTAATTATTACAATAACTAAAATATTATTATTATTATATATATATATACAAAATTATTTAAAATTTTCTGCAAATTATAAAAATTATTAATTATAATAGTAATACAGTATAAACTGATTTTTAATCTAATTATTCTTTTTCATAATTAATATTAAATAATATTATAATTTATAAAAATTAATATTTAATAATAATAATTTATAGAAATAYTTTTTTTTCARTTAAATTTTATTTAGTAWTTTCAAATTATTATTTTTATAAGATTTTACACTTGATTTTTGATTCATTTTCATCTACAATATTATATAAAATAAAATTTAAACTTAAAAACTAAATTATTAAATAATTATTTGAAAATTATATTTTAGTTAATAAATATTATGAAAAACYAGTTGTAGTCWATATACTGTATTATAATTTGTTTTTAAATTTATAYATTRAGTTAAATATAAAATATAAAATATAATACTAAGCTGTTGTTATCAATCTACTAATTGTTAAGTTAAAATCAATTATGTTTTAAATAATTTATTTGCTAATAATGTAAGCATTGAACGCAAATATGTTTTTTCAGATAATTATTGAATAAAAACAGTACTCAAACACAATCACTCAAACATACACTAAAAGCACCGGCAGTTTATGGCACTTAAAACTTATAAYWCTKACTAACAAACACATAGAGACACACAAAATGCAAGAAAAATAGCAATCAATGAGASATAAGAATTGATGCAAACAATAGWKTTATATATATATTTGTCACACATTTTAATGCATTACAAAATACATCTAAAGAATWGTTTTTCAWTGTTTCACAAAAAATATATTTTTTTATATTTTTTTTGTTGAAAAATATGTATTAAAATATAATATAAAATAATATCAGTTTATACATGTGTTGGTGTGAACCGTTAGATCTCATCGAGTGCTCAGTTAATATAAAATCATTTTATAATTTGTTTCTCAAACACAGATATAACGGAACAAATATTTCCAAAAAAAATAAAATCATTTTTTACACAAAAACTATTTGTTATAATATGACAAAGTTATGTCTTATATATAAAATAAAATAATATATACTYGWACTGTATATAACAGTTTTGTTAATAATAGRCATTAAGACCACACATACAATATATAGAAGTATAATAAATATAASTATAAAATATATAACTATTTGGACACACATTGTATATAAGTATGGCATTCAATGATCAGAAAATACATTTTATGGTCAATAATATGTAGGAAATGCAACCCTTAAACACAACACCATTGACTATAATAATGACTGTCTATTATTGTACAGTAAATCAATATAATATTCGCTAAAATAAATACATTAACTGTTATTTTGATATATAATTATCTATTTATTTAGAAATATGAATATTAATATATATTTTTAATTTTGTTATTGAATTTWTATAAWGTTATTTAATTATTAAATTTATTATGAATATAATTATTTGATACAAAAAATAGATTTTAACAATTATAAATTTATTATTATTAATTTATGTTAATCACCTTTGTYAAATTTGATTTTATCTRTTGTTATCTAATTTTCGTTATTTAATTTATAAATAARCTACCTAGGTTATTTTTAAAAAATTATGCTTTCACGCTAACTTAAGGGAATATGTATTMTATAAATAWATTTATAASAAATAWATTGTTWGCAAATTTATCCCCAAAAGACTACTTCACTGTTTAACACAATTTTCACATTTGTATAGCAAATGTCACATCAATTACAGCCAATTGAACATAACATTAGTGGATCATTAGTGGAATTATTATCAAATGGAAATATTAAWATATTATGTGGTATTACTAATAGTATACTATAAATTATGTGTTTATTAATAAAGTAATTTAAAATATTGTAAATATTGACACCGCAGTCACATCTGACACCGGAGTCACATCTGACACCGCAGTCACATCTGACACCGGAGTCACATCTGACACCGGAGTCACATCTGACACCGCAGTCACATCTGACACCGGAGTCACATCTGACACCGCAGTCACATCTGACACCGGAGTCACATCTGACACCGCAGTCACATCTGACATCGGACTCACATCTGACACCGGAGTCACATCTGACACCGGAGTCACATCTGACACCTTTGTCACATCTGACACCGCAGTCACATCTGACATCGGACTCACATCTGACACCGCAGTCACATCTGACACCGGAGTCACATCTGACACCGCAGTCACATCTGACACCGGAGTCACATCTGACACCGCAGTCACATCTGACATCGGACTCACATCTGACACCGGAGTCACATCTGACACCGGAGTCACATCTGACACCGGAGTCACATCTGACACCTTTGTCACATCTGACACCGGAGTCACATCTGACACCTTTGTCACATCTGACACCGCAGTCACATCTGACACCGCAGTCACATCTGACACCTTWGTCACATCTGACACCGCAGTCACATCTGACACCTTTGTCACATCTGACACCGGAGTCACATCTGACACCTTTGTCACATCTGACACCGCAGTCACATCTGACACCTTTGTCACATCTGACACCGTCAGTCTGACATCTGACACCGGAGTCACATCTGACACCGTCACATCTGACACAGTCATCTGACACCGGAGTCACATCTGACACCGGAGTCACATCTGACACCTTTGTCACATCTGACACCGCAGTCACATCTGACACCTTTGTCACATCTGACACCGGAGTCACATCTGACACCGGAGTCACATCTGACACCGGAGTCACATCTGACACCGCAGTCACATCTGACACCGGAGTCACATCTGACACCGCAGTCACATCTGACACCGGAGTCACATCTGACACCGCAGTCACATCTGACACCGGAGTCACATCTGACACCGGAGTCACATCTGACACCGCAGTCACATCTGACACCGGAGTCACATCTGACACCGCAGTCACATCTGACACCGGAGTCACATCTGACACCGCAGTCACATCTGACATCGGACTCACATCTGACACCGGAGTCACATCTGACACCGGAGTCACATCTGACACCTTTGTCACATCTGACACCGCAGTCACATCTGACAACGGAGTCACATCTGACACCAGAGTCACATCTGACACCAGAGTCACATCTGACACCAGAGTCACATCTGACACCRGAGTCACATCTGACACCAGAGTCACATCTGACAMCRGAGTCACATCTGACACCGGAGTCACATCTGACACCGGAGTCACATCTGACACCGGAGTCACATCTGACACCTTTGTCACATTGTCACATCTGACACCGGAGTCACATCTGACACCTTTGTCACATCTGACACCGCAGTCACATCTGACACCGCAGTCACATCTGACACCTTTGTCACATCTGACACCGCAGTCACATCTGACACCTTTGTCACATCTGACACCGGAGTCACATCTGACACCTTTGTCACATCTGACACCGCAGTCACATCTGACACCTTTGTCACATCTGACACCGCAGTCACATCTGACACCGGAGTCACATCTGACACCGCAGTCACATCTGACACCGGAGTCACATCTGACACCGGAGTCACATCTGACACCTTTGTCACATCTGACACCGCAGTCACATCTGACACCTTTGTCACATCTGACACCGGAGTCACATCTGACACCGGAGTCACATCTGACACCGGAGTCACATCTGACACCGCAGTCACATCTGACACCGGAGTCACATCTGACACCTTTGTCACATCTGACACCGCAGTCACATCTGACACCGGAGTCACATCTGACACCGCAGTCACATCTGACACCGGAGTCACATCTGACACCGGAGTCACATCTGACACCGCAGTCACATCTGACACCGGAGTCACATCTGACACCGGAGTCACATCTGACACCGGAGTCACATCTGACACCGGAGTCACATCTGACACCGCAGTCACATCTGACACCGGAGTCACATCTGACACCGGAGTCACATCTGACACCTTTGTCACATCTGACACCGCAGTCACATCTGACACCGGAGTCACATCTGACACCGCAGTCACATCTGACACCGGAGTCACATCTGACACCTTTGTCACATCTGACACCGCAGTCACATCTGACACCGCAGTCACATCTGACACCGGAGTCACATCTGACAACCGCAGTCACATCTGACACCGGAGTCACAGTCACATCTGACACCGSAGTCACATCTGACACCGGAGTCACATCTGACACCGGAGTCACATCTGACACCGCAGTCACATCTGACTCCGGAGTCACATCTGACACCGGAGTCACATAATGATTCAGGATAAAAAACTAAACCCAACTATAGTCATGTGAGGTATCAAATGATTCAGAATAAAAAACTAAACCCAACTATAGTCATCTTCTGTATCAAATGATTCAGGATAAAAAACTAAACYCAACTATWGTCATGTWGGGTATCAAATGATTCAGGATAAAAAACTAAACCCAACTATAGTCATGTGAGGTATCAAATGATTCAGAATAAAAAACTAAACCCAACTATAGTCATGTTGGGTATCAAATGATTCAGAATAAAAAACTAAACCCAACTATAGTCATGTTGGGTATCAAATGATTCAGAATAAAAAACTAAACCCAACTATAGTCATGTTGGGTATCAAATGATTCAGAATAAAAAACTAAACCCAACTATAGTCATGTTGGGTATCAAATGATTCAGRATAAAAAACTAAACCCAACTATAGTCATGTGAGGTATCAAATGATTCAGAATAAAAAACTAAACCCAACTATAGTCATGTGAGGTATCAAATGATTCAGAATAAAAAACTAAAC